AATTCTTGCTTCGGAAAAAGATGTAGAAAAGAAATTGAACAAATTTGAAAAAATAGAGCTGAACGAAAACTGCAAAAAACTTGTCGAGATAGCAGAAAATTTAAAAAAAACAATAGTCCCAAAAATACTTGGATTGAAAAGGTGCAAAGAATTGTATAGCAACTTCAATGGAGGAAAAATCAAAGAGGCATACAAACTGATAAAATAGCTTAAAAGAGTATTTGCGTCATTGATAAGAGCAGTAAAAGATACGAACGGCAAACTGCTTCTAAAAGACTGACAGGTTTGTGAATATATAAAAAAGCTTTATATAGACGAGTACACGTATGTTGAAAAAATATTTGAAGAACTTAAAGAAAGATCAGCAGAAATGAACAGGAACATTGAAACGATGGAATGTTAAATTGTGATGATGAAAAGCAATAAAAATGTTAAAAAAACAATAAAAGCTGCGGAATAGATGGTTATCAGCAGAATTAATAAAACTGGTGGTTTGAAAATTGTACAAAGTTGAAGATTGTAAAACTAATTAAATGATCGTTAAGTATTCGTTTTGAACAAACAAAGAATCAACAAGGTTGAGACACAGTATGAATATATATTTGAGCATCTGGCCACGAACACAAAGTATCAATTCAAACACCGAAAAAATACTGAAAAAAGCTTTTTTGTTCTATCATGCTTAAAACAAATAAAAAATATTGGTTTTGAACTAAAGAAACTTGAGAATGATGTACGATCAACCTTTAGAAAAATTGAAAAAGTAAACAGGAAGCTATTTAACGCTGTTTTTGTCGCTTTGACAACTATCGTTCAAAAATTTTTTAAGTTTTTTGGTGTTAAAATTTTTCATTAGAATTTCATGTTTCTTTTTCAAATTTATTTGTTTATATTTTTAATAATATTAAAGCTATAATATTACCTATCACAAAATTAATAAATAATGTACTGACGATGACGGTTTAACGTCAAAATATAAAAATATATATATATATTTATAACCTATATAAATCAACTTGCATTGATGATGATTCATTCGGAATCGAAATATGAATTCGGAAAATAAGTTTATTTTGAATTTTAATAAATTAAACGTTTTCCAAAAAACTTTAGTGAGAAAAATCGAAAAAACGAACTACAAACATATTAACGCCAAACATTCGGTAGAAGTTATAGATCATTGTAAAAATTATGGTCTTTTACCAACATTATACATGTATATGTATGTATGAATAAATCGTTAAATCATATTCATATATGTATATGCATGCATGCATGCTCAAAAACGTAACTCCAAATTTAAAGATCTATGAACAATCCACTTTTGTTGCTTTTTGTAGTTGAAAAAATTTGCAACACAAAAATTATTTACAACATAAAAATTGTTTGCAATATGAAAATTATTTACTCCTCTCTTGTTTTGATGCTCGTGCTTCATGAGTCTCATGAGGTCCTGCACACGCGTGAGATCTCCTTCGTCAGAGCTTACAGCTACATTGTGGTGAACAATCAAAAAACTGATGTTTGTTTTGATACAGCTATGAGCATTTTGAAGAAACTGAAGGCTGTCTCCGTTGGTGATTGCATCTACAAATGTCTGGTATGCCGCTGAATCCTTCGTTTTTTATCTTCAGAATCTAACTATGATACAAATAATTAACAACTTTATATATTTGTAATATATTTATGTTGCCCTAATTTCCAACAATTGTGGTATTAGTATAAAAATATTTTACTTACTGAATTTTAAAATAAAAATAACGAAATATTTTTGTGACGCTCAGAAGGCAACGAACATGAATTTGAAAGGAATTAATTTTGTGAGGTCTGGTGAATCTTGTTCATGTGTGCCCAAAATGAACGTTTTATACAACGTAACCAATTTAAAAAAGGATTGTCTGGCTTTTATGGCTTGTAGTATCGGTTAGATTAAAATTTTGCAAAGTTAGAAACGTCGTCATGTTATCTTTATTCAAATTTATTTTTTCAAGNATTGCCCGCCCTGAATTTGAATACGTTGTAGAAAGCCACAAATGTA